AGCCACCCTAGTCAGACTGTTCTCTCTGCTACCGCACGGCAAGCGGTACCGGAGCGCCAAGTCTAGGTCCAAAAGGCTTCTTAACAGCTTCTATCCCCAAGCCATAAGACTCCTGAACAGCTAATCAAATGGCTAGCTGCTACTCTGTTTATTATCTATGCATAGTCACTTTATCTCTACCTACATGTACATATTACCTCAACTAACCTGTGCCCCCGCACATTGACTCTGTACCGGTACCCCCTGTATATAGCCTCGCTGCTGTTATTTTACTGCTGCTCTTTCATTATTTGTTCTTTTTTTACCTATCTATTTTTTACTTAACACTTATTTTTCTTAGAACTGCATTGTTGGTTAAGGGCTTGTAAGTAAGCATTTCACTGTAAGGTCTACACCTGTTGTATTCGGCGCATGTGACAAATACAATTTGATTTAATTTGATAGTGGTATAAGAAGAGTGCCAACTTCCTACATCTGACTGTTTTTATTTAACTGCCTGCTGGACCCATGGGTTGAGGCCAACTCTGTCATATCCAGGATGGAGTGTCATGCACTCTACCCCTCCTATCACCTGACTGCACCTGTCCATAACCAGTAATACATTACATAGATGGAAGGGACTTCATCACCCACTGGAGACTTGAAGACAGAACCTCACCCAGAGAGATGTGCATGTCAGTGTGTGGTTAGACAGCCAAATCCTTAGAATAGACCAAAGAAATAGAATAGACTTCCCTGCTAGTTCTGGGACAGCTGAAGTTGTACCAAAGATGTGTATGCTCCTTGTTCTGTGGTTGTGCTCTACACAACGTATTTTCATTTGCGAAGTCGAGGCATACAGTCGTGGTCAAAAGTTGAGAATGACACATTAATTTTCACAAAGTCTGCTGCCTCAGTTTTTATGATGGTAATTTGCATATACTCCACAATGTTATGAAGAGTGATCAGATGAATTGCAATTAATTGCAAAGTCCCTCTTTGCCATGAAAATGAACTTAATCCCCAAAAAACATTTCCACTGCATTTCAGCCCTGCCACAAAAGGACCAGCTGCCATCATGTCAGTGATTCTCTCGTTAACACAGGTGAGAGTGTTGACAATAACAGACTGGAAGCTTTAAAAGGAGGGTGGTGCTTGAAATCATTGTTCTTCCTCTGTTAACCATGGTTACCTGCAAGGAAACATGTGCCGTCATCATTGCTTTGCACAGAAAAGGCTTCACAGGCAAGGAAGGATATTGCAGCTAGTAAGATTGCACCTAAATCAACCATTTATCGGATCATCAAGAACTTCAAGGAGAGAGGTTCAATTGTTGTGAAGAAGGCTTCATTGCGCCCAAGAAAGTCCAGCAAGCGCCAGGACCGTCTCCTAAAGTTGATTCAGCTGCGGGATCGGGGCACCACCAGTGCAGAGCTTGCTCAGGAATGGCAGCAGGCAGGTGTGAGTGCATCTGCACGCACAGTGTGGCGAAGACTTAGAGGATGGCCTGGTGTCAAGAAGGGCAGCGACGAAGCCACTTCTCTCCAGGAAAAACATCAGGAACAGACTGATATTCTGCAAAAGGTACAGGGATTGGACTGCTGAGAACTGGTGTAAAGTCATTTTCTCTGATTAATCCCCTTTCCGATTGTTTGGGGCATCCGGAAAAAAGCTTGTCCGGAGAAGACAAGGTGAGCGCTACCATCAGTCCTGTGTCATGCCAACAGTAAAGCATCCTGAAACCATTCATGTGTGGGGTTGCTTCTCAGCCAAGGGAGTGGGCTCACTCACAATTTTGCCTAAGAACACAGCCATGAATAAAGAATGGTACCAACACATCCTCCGAGAGCAACTTCTCCCAACCATCCAAGAACAGTTTGGTGACGAACAATGAATTTTCCAGCATGATGGAGCACCTTGCCATAAGGCAAAAGTGATAACTAAGTGGCTCGGGGAACAAAACATCAACATTTTGGGTCCATGGCCAGGAAACTACCCAGACCTTAATCCCTTTGAGAACTTGTGGTCAATCCTCAAGAGGCGGGTGGACAAACAAAAACCCACAAATTCTGACAAACTCCAAGCATTGATTATGCAAGAATGGGCTGCCATCAGTCAGGATGTGGGCCAGAAGTTAATTGACAGCATGCCAGGGCGGATTGCAGAGGTCTTGAAAAAGAAGGGTCAACACTGCAAATATTGACTCTTTGCATAAACTTAATGTAATTGTCAATAAAAGCCTTTGACACTTATGGAATGCTTGTAATTATACTTCAGCATACCATAGTAACATCTGACAAAAATATCTAAAAACACTGAAGCAGCAAACTTTGAAGACCAATACTTGTCATTCTCAAAACTTTTGACCACGACTGTACTGTCTTAATTAGCAAATCAATATGATAGCCTATTTACAGCAGAAAATATTTTGTCTTTGTAACAAACACACCCTTCGATTTTTTTGTTGTTGATACATTTATCTACACTCTAGCTGGCCATGTTTTGTGCAATGTCCACATGTAGCTTCCACCTGTAGGGATATTAGTTCTGCTAATTGTCCCCCGGGAATGATCTAACAACAGACATAACGAGAAACGGGACTAGACAAAACTAGCCTGTTATAGAATATTGTGTTGACATCAGAGCTGACTGAAGAAGGGATATTCAACACATTTGTTGATATCAAGTTGCAAGCTATTTTGTAGCAAGGTGTTGTAGACCTAGTGTCTCATGAAAAACATTCCAGACACTTCTTGCTATCTTGGCATACAGTGCCTGCAGAAAGAATTCACACCCCTGGACTTTTTCCACATTTTGCCTGAATTTAACATGGATTAAATAGAGATTGTGTCACTGGCCTACACACACACACACACAATACCCCATAATGTCAAAGTGGAATTCTGTTTTTAGACATTTTTACTAATTAATTTAAAAATAATGAAAAGCTGAAATATCTTCAGTCAATAAGTATTCAACCCCTTTGTTATGGCAAGCCTAAATAAGTTCTGGAGTAAAACATTTCTTAACAAGTCACATAAGTTGCATGGGCTGGCAATAAGTGTTTAACATGATTTTTGAATGACTACTTCATCTGTCCCCCACACATACAATTATCTGTAAGGTCCCTCAGTTGAGCAGTGAACTTCAAACAGATTCAACCACAAAGACCAGGGAGGTTTTCCAATGCCTCACGAAGAAGGGTACCTATTGGTAGATGGGTAAAAATAAAAAAGCAGACATTGAATATCCCTTTGAGCATTAATTACACTTTGGATGGTGTATCAATACACCCAGTCACTACAAAAGATACAAGCGTCCTCAGTTGCCAGAGGAAGAAACCCACTCAGGGATTTCACGATGAGGCCAATGGTGACTTGTAGTTACTCCACAATACTAACCTAAATGACAGAGTGAAAAGAAGGAAGCCTGTACAGAATAAAAAATATTCCAAAACATGCATCCTGTTTGCAATAAGGAACTAAAGTAAAACTGCAAAAAATTTGGCAAAGAACTAAACGTTATGTCCTGGATACAATAACAATAACTTATAACAAGGCCAAATATACACTGGAGTTGCTTAGCAAGACAACATTAAATGTTCCTGAGTGGCCAAGTTACAGTTTTGACAAATATTGCAAATATTGTACAGTCCAGGTGTGCAAAGCTGTTAGACTTACCCAGAAAGACTCACAGCTGTAATCGCTGCCAAAGGTGATTCTAACATGTATTGACTCAGGGGTGTGAATACTTATGTAAATTACATATTTCTGTATTTCATTTAATACATTTGCAAAAAAAACTACATTTTCACTTTGTCATTATGGGGTAGTGTGTAGATGGGTAAAAAACAAACAATCATTTTGAATTCAGGCTGTAACACAAAGTGTGGAATAAGTCAAGGGATATGAATACTTTCTGAAGGCACTATAACTGATGACAGAGAAATATCAGCCAGCTAGATAGTTACAGCTCGCTAGTCTATCCCGAAGCTGTGCTAGCTAGCTAGCTGCTGTCAGGTTGGCTAAACACAAGGTCAACACAGGCTTTAGCCTACACATAGAACTGAATTAGCAGATCATCTTGAGATGGCGAGTCAGTCAAGAGGCGAGAAGTCAACTTAAAAACTTCTAAGTCTCCATAGCAGATAGCTTAGCTTAACTCGCTGTCACTAAGTTACTCACCACTGCCCTTGTTTGTTTGTTGTGATTGAATGGCAAAGAAATATCCACATTAAACCACAAAGACAACTATTTTGGGCTTCAGTAATGGCCGCTGCATTTCTTAATGAGCACCGGAACACAAGCAGAATCGGTGAGTGCAGTTCACCTTTAAAAATGATATGCTACTTATCCTTTTATCTATAAAAATGTCTTGCACAACTAACTTAAAAACGAATTATCACTTTACATTTATTTTGGGATCTATCCCTGTAAATGTCCTTTCCTGATGACGCTTGAGTGGATAAGGACTGTCATTACATACAAGCACATTTTCATGCCCATCACCCTCCTCGCCACCTCCCCTATTACCTTTTCAAGAAGAGACGAGAGGACTGAGGACACATCACACTTTTCCCTACTTTAAGCCCCTCCCTCTTCTCTTTGTTTCATCTTTTAGTTTCTTCTTGCTGTTAGTCTGGTGTCGTGCAGTGATCTGTTTTTTTGTTGTTTAGTTTCTACAATTCTAAATCAACTTTGGGTAATTAAAAAGCTCTATATAGGTCCCATGTATTATTAATTTAAAAGCGCAGATTGACTCATAAAATCAATACGATTATTTATTATATAACATTGTTTTTATGATTGTGGTACAAATACACATTGTTACCAGTTGTAAATAGGTTTTAAAACGAAAGTGAGGAGCCATCAATAGTCAAACATGAAAACCATTTTACAAATCAATTGTGAGGAAAACATTTGAAAATGTCTCAAAATAACTTCTGTACCACATTTTCACATAAAGTGTTACAGAACAACTATGCAATTAAGTTCCATCTCATGAGACTACATTCAACTTTTGTGTGGATCCCCAGGGTATGCGGGCACCACGTATTGAGACACTGGACTCTCTACTATGTGAGTTCTCTGATGCGATGTCATTTTGGAGCGCCTGGTGAAGCATTTCCCACACTGTGTGCACTCATAGGGCTTCTCCCCGCTGTGGACCATAGCATGTCTGATCAGGTTGCACTGCTTGGTGAAACTCCTGCCACACTGTTCGCAGGTGTACGGTTTCTCTCCGGTGTGACTCCGGAGGTGTTCTTTGAGCTGGCAGAGACGCTGGAAACTCTTCCCACAGAAAGTGCAGCTGAAACGCCTCTCGGTGGTGCCGCCCGACCTCCACTGAGTCCTCATTCTCTTCACCATGTTAAAACTACTGCGACTCAGGCTGTATCCAGAGAAGGTGGAGGTGGTGGCCATGTTTGACTCTGTCATGCACTCACTCAATCTCACCGTTGCTTCTGAAGCCCTGTATTGATGCTGCATTGGCTGTAGAGCTAAACTATTTCCTTCATTATTTGAGTTCAGCCTCTCGCTGCTCTGTCCCTCTGGCATCTGTTGTCTAGTCCCATCAGCCATTGTCCTGATATGTCTTTTCATGTGTGATGCTGCACTGAACATGTTAGCATGTGGTTTCCATATAGAAGAGTGAAGCGATGGCCCCACATCATCTGTCATAGTAGGAACGGATGGCAGCCCACTATGAGATGGGAAAATTGAGATATTCTGAGAGTACTCTTCTGTGGAATGAAAGGAGAAATCTGGGTGGCCATCAGGGTCAGTATCTCTGCCTGGATCCACAGAGGTCCACAGCTGCCCATCAGTCTCATCCATAACAAACTGGTCAGGTCCTGCCAGGGCCGTGGTCTGATCTAGCTCCTCCTCTTTCTCATCCTTCACCATCACTAGGTCTAGTGAGTCCTCGTCCTCGTCCTGCCGGTGCTGCTCTGTGCTGAACACTTCTGTAGACGCGAGCCGGGGTGTACCTGGTTCCTCTGGACGATTAGAAATGGGGTAATGTTCCAATGAGTCTTCAGGAGATATGTTGGGTTGTGTGATGAATTCTTCATTACAGTACCGTTGCTCAAAGGATGGTGGTTTCCTAGGTTTGGAACCAGGCTCTAAAGATTTCGGGATAAACATGAAAAACATTACAAAAGACCCTTAACAGTTAGAACTGACTGTGTGTCCGTGCGCTCCATATGCCAGAACATAAAACACCCAACACCAATGTAGCAATTTGGAACGTGCATACCACCACACCCACACAGTCTTCCATAGACAGACAGAGCAGTACCCCTTATGGTCACACCCACCCTCTCCAGGGATCTTGAGCTCTTCCTGAGGGTCAGCCTTCCACACGTCCTCTGCTGTCTCCTCATCTTTGATCAGTATGGGTTCAGTCTCCACTCTCTGCTCCGCATCTGTAGGCTGTAACAGGAGACTGAGGTTATTACTCTGGACACAAACCATATCTAACCATTTTCATACTCATGAATCACACAAAAGCGATAAATTCTCCTGATATTCCAATAGCAGAATTGATCCAAGAGGTCAGGTCTCTATAGTTGTAAAAGGTGATGCATCACACCTGGGGTTGAGAGTCCTCTTCAACAGCCATCTCTCTGTCTCTCCACTGTGAGCTACTCTTCTGCTTGTTCAAAACAATCTTGACTGGATATGAAGATGTCTCTGATGCCATGGGGTAAAAACATGGAAAAGAATTGTATTCAGTCAAATATTAGGGCTATTCACACATTTGGGTTTTACATATGCAATCAATTTACTAGCCTGGAGACCCGACGTTAAATTTCATTGAATTCTACGTCGGGCATAAATGAGCATCTGGATCAGGAAAGTTTCCTCTCACAACCTATACAAGCGAATGATAAATTAATGTATGTATTGGCAACCCGCTTTTTCCAGGGGAAACCCCCTTTGGGAAGTGCATAAAATTATTAATAAAAAAAAAAAATTTTTTGGTTTTCTCCCCGGGGAAACCCCCGAAACCCAAAACCCGGGCCCTTTTTCCCCCCAAACGAAGCCCCCCTTTTTGGCCCTAAAATTCCCGGGAAAATTTCCCTTAAACCCCTTTGGATACGTTGGGCCCAAAGGCCCCCGGGCCCCAAATCCCCCTTTCGCGGCCCCAACCCGGGCCTAACGAACCAGGGAATTTTCTTAAGTGGCACGTTTTCTGCAGTTGAAGAATTTTGGGATGGGAAAACCACTCTTGGCCCCAAAAGTTTCTTTCTTTATTCCAGGCTTTTTAAGAATAAAAATAAGGCAAATTTTTATGTTGAAATGGGGAAGGGAAAAATTTGGGGGGCCACAGCAACCAAAAAGTCATATTCTTAAAATTTTCCCTTGGGTTTTCAAAACCCAAAAAATGTAAGTTCCCTTTTTTCCAAGGGAAAAATAACAATTGGGGGTTAAATACTGTTTTTTTGGGGGGGGTGAAAAAATTTTTTTTGGGGTTTCAGGGTTTTTAATTTGCCTCCCCTTCCCCAAAAGGTTTGGGAAATTTTTCCCTTTTTGGGAATATGCCTTTAAAAAAGCCTCCCCGGTTTTAAAAAAATTAACCTGGTTTTAAAGCCAAAACAGTTTTTTCCCCTTAAAAAACCCAACAGTTCATAATCAAAAACCAAAAATTTAATTCTTTTCTTTTTTTGTTTCCTCAAAAAAAGATTTTAAACAAAAGGATCTAGTACTGGAAAAACCCCAGGTTCAAAAATTTAGCTTGGGCTTTTAAACCAGGCCCTAATTTTCGAATGAGGCACCGGGGCCCAAGCCGCCCTAAACCCCCCAAAAGAAAAAACCCACCCAAAACCCTTAAACCCTCCGGGGCCCCTGGAAAAAACCCCAGCCGGGGGGGGGCCCGGTGTCTCTATAGGAAGGTCTAGTCTCTGACAGAAGTAGCCCACCACCCCCTGGTCCTCCAGTAGCAGAGGCACTCTGTAGATTGACGACACGTCTGCCACGCAGATCACCTGTTCAGGTTCTACATGACATTAACTCTGTACCGGTACTCATTGTATATAGTCTCGTTACTGTTATTTTATTGTGTTACTATTTTTAGCAAAACATTTTAGCACATTTTTCTTCCTTTTTTGGGGGGGAAAAGGCTCGTAAGTAAGCATTTCACGGTAAAGTCTAAACCTGTTGTATTCGGCGCATGTGACAAATACAATTTTATTGTGAGACAATATCCACAGGAAAGTATAATTAAATCAACCTTTCAAAGCGCTGGTAGGGCATTCAGATTTCTATCACCTGAAGCATGCACAAAACCATGTAAACACGTGCAAGAGCTTGGCAAGTATGCATGGTGGCACGTATGTATTTTCATACATGCACGTGATAGAAATCTGATTATAAACTGGGTGGTTTGAGCCCTGAATTCTGATTGGCTGAAGGCCATGGTATATCAGACTGTATACCAAGGGCATGACAAAACATTTAGTTTTACTGCTCTAATTACATTGGCAACCAGTTTATAATAGCAATAAGGCTCCTAGGGGTTTGTGATATATGGCCAATATACCACGGCTAAGGGCTGTGTCCAGGCACTCCTCATTGCGAATAAGAACAGCCCTTAGCTGAGGTATATCGGCCATATACCACACCTCCTCGGGCCTTATTGCTTAAATAAACTACTAGCACTTTGAAAGTCGATTTAATTATACTTTCCTCTGGATCTCACGCATTCCTACCTGCCAATGGACCAACCGCACGGACAACCGGTAAAGTAAATTAAAATATATATATATATATATTTACATTCTGGCTTGTAGAGATCGTGAGAGTCAACTTTCCTGATCCAAATGCTAATTTATGCCCGACGTTGAATCCAATACAATTCAACGTCGACAGGCTATACATTTATCATGAAAAATAACAAACTACCTTTTCGTCCTCGTTTCTTCTCCAACTCGCTCTCCATCATTTGCCACTTCCTTTTCAATACATCAATATCTCGCTGGCTTTGGGTCATTTCCAAACGTATAATCGCACAGCTATCATCTACACGATTGTTTATTTCTGCTACAGCTGCTTTAGCTAATACCTCCAGAATGGATACCAACTGCGCCTGAAAATTACAGCTCGCCATCTTGTCCAGCCCAAATTACAGATGCGTATTGCCTGTGTGAAGTAAATAGTATTCAATTTCCAAGATAATGTGCAATAAACAATCCGTATCTGTTGATAAATGGCAACAATGTAGTGAAGCGGGAGATAAGTGCGCAATTGCAATCGCTGCTCTTCTTCTATGGTATAATGGCGTTAACAACAATTTGATGTGTATTCCGCCACCTACTGTGCGGCTGAATAATAAAGATACTAAAAAAATGAAATAATGTGGGTAAAAAATAAATCTAATATCATACAAACTGACAAAAAATAAATTAACTAAACTAAATCAACCTGCTTTTGTGTAAAAAAAAAATCATAATAAAAAAAAATCAAATCAGGTCCCTTCACAGGCTCAAAAGACTCCTGTGAGGGCGGGACATTTCCTAGCTACAATGGTCCTTGCAGTGATTCTGCCTTGAAGTCTTGGAGCCACTGCTATCGCTCTTCCGTTCAATAGGCCCTTTTCACGTGACGTCAGACAACTTCCGTTCTGCCGCGATGCAGGTTATGTTTACATCCGGTGTCGCTTAGGAACGCTTAGCTAGTAGCACATCATTATGGAGTTCACCCAGTCCCTTTCACATCTGCCACCAATACGACTTAACGACGTAGAACGACTTGCTGACAAGTGGTCCCTTACTTCAAGATCGAAGCTTGATAAAGGCTACAAGTTCTTCGTTGAAGGTTACCTGTTTGATTATGAAGGTACGTGTTTATCTTTATTTAGCTTAAATTAGCCCTATGCTAGCGAAGGTTATGAGCTGACGAGTTTCTGTTTTGCAGCCTCTTTTTAATATTACTGCTGTTTGTATCGACCGTAAGATAAGAGTCAGTAATGTATTAATGGCTAATGCTGCACCCTTTCTCCCAATCACTGTATTGAAACAGTCTCAAGTGTAGTTAACGGTGAGGTGACAGTGAGAGGGCGATGTTACAGGTCCATGAAGAAAAATGAGGAGGCTCATCGGCTTCAGGTTTCTCAGATAAACAGTTCTCTAACATTATGATAAGATAGGTTAAGATAGATAAGTTTTCTTTTTGTTGTGTTTTGCTGCGGTTGCAGATTTAATAAGAATGATTCCACAAAGTTCCACTGTGGATCAGTTTGTTTCTCAGTCTGAGCTCTGATTTTGTATCATTAAACTTAATACACAACGAAATTCTTACAAACCGATGTGGGTTGTTGACGGCAATAAAGACTGGGAAAGATTCTGTGATAACTCAAAATGTTCAAATTTTCGATAAGTGTTGGCACTACTTGTCAAAGGTTTCAGAACAGCCAATTTTTCTTAATTAAAAAAAGAAATTGGGTTTTGAAAATTGTGTACAGTAGTTTATAATGAAACGCAGAAAAAATGTTTTGTAAGTACAGCACTAATTGTTATGTCTCTATGAACAGGTTACACTAGACTCTGCAGAGGTTCCTGTGGTACTCAATCACATGTCATGTTCCTGCTCTGCTGGGAAAGCACTATGTAATCACATAGTAGCACTTCTTTTTCAAAGTGCTCACTATGTTACCATGGGCTTTAAGACAGTGCCATTGCCTCTGTCATGCACCAGCGCACTGCAGACCTGGCACCGGCCTAGGACACAGGTCAGACATTATTTGTTACACTGATGCAGAACTTTGCAGTTTGTATTGACTTTTGACAATGTATTGTTCATCATTATTATATCACAGGGAATTGTACCAGAGGCCACCAATGATATGGCGGTGTGTAAACCAGCGGCTAAGAAAAAAACAAGTGTCAGAGCTGGTGTGAAGTGCACACTGTACCGAGCCTATGATGGTGAGTCTGAATGAGCCCCCGCCTGTACTAGAGCACAAAGACTTTAGTGCATTTCTAAAATAATACAAACATAAAAGTGATTATTATTTGTTACTTTTTATATAGACTTTCAGTGGATATTTTTTTATTTGTATTAGAAGCATGTACGAGACTGGATGAGTGTGGTTGTCTTTTTTAGTGAAAAAGATAAGGTGGCATTTAATGAAATCTAAACTTGACATATCTCACTTTCATGCCAGGGCCTATTCCGGATCCTCACGTCATGGCCAGTGCTGAGAAACTGAAAGACATCCGTCCACAACCAGGGATTTGCAAATTGCTGCACGGGCTTGAGGGCCTTAATTTGGTGGACTCTAAATTTGGCCCTGTGCCATTTGGGTCTGTGCTTTCTTACCAGTGCCCTCTAGAATTAAGTAGAGATATTATTAAACACCCTGGTGCCAGTGAGTTTCCTCAGTTGCCTATTGAAGGTTACAACTTTAAATTTCCCATTGATTTTGAGCCCAACTACATACAACAATGTCATTTGGACAGCCTGATTGTGTCAGAGGAGATGTCTGCTGCTATTGAAGCAGAAACAAGAATGCAGTCAGAATGCCAGCTGTGGAGCCAGGTACGCAAACCCCGACTGACAGCCAGCAGATTCCGTGAAATATGCCATGTTCGTGGGGAGTTGTCTGCCAAGGCTTTGGCAACCCGCATTCTGAGAGGAACTCCTCAGACAGCTGCTATGAGAAGAGGGTTGGATCTGGAACCTGAGATACTGAGGCAATATTCT